AAAGAGGCTACCAGTGTTTGTGTGGCCCTATGTGAACGAAAATTACAAACAGGCAGCCATGTTTGTTTTCCCAGAGAAATGCAGCCTTGCAGACTTGAGCAAAATGAAGAGACACAAGCAAACAAAGAAAAGAGTCAAAGAAAGAAAAAGAAAGAGATGGATAAAAAGACAACAAGAGAAAACCGAAAAGAAAATGATTGAGTGTAAGTACAAACACTATGAGCTGTGCCCGTCACCTGTTCCCCATCGAGAAAGTGGTGTGACATTCCACTGTCGTGAACACAGACATATCGCCCAAGCAGGAAAAGGCAATAGAGAAAAACTAGAGGGGAATATATGATTACAATCATTCATCTGTTAAAGGAGATAAAACTGAAATTTATGAAGTCAATTAGTAGCTGGTTCCGCTTAAAAGTTGGCATGGTTTAAAAGTAGCCCAAAAAAGAAAAGAAAAAACTAAATATAACACTTAACATTCCCTTTTGGAGTGCCAAGTGGGGCCACCTGATGCTGATTCAGACAAGCTTTTTTCTGCCTGTCTGTCAGTGTCACACAGTCTCTCTGTTCAGGGCTATTTAAGGCATCCCTGAGACTGTGCCACCAAACAGGCTCAGGTTATCGCTTCTGCACATCCACAGTGACGTAACAACACTAACCCAAGGATTCAACCATCCCTCTGTCTCAGCTAAAGTAGAACTTTATGTGATTCTTTACAGCTTGTTGTTAGCTGTATTGAATTAAGAAGCCTGTGACAGACATAGCTTACATGCAGAGACACCAGTTGCATAATTTCTTTCTGAAATCCTGTGGTAAATCCCTGTCTAAGTGACAGCACACTTTTACATGCTTTCCAGCCTGTGCAGTTAATGGAAAAGACTGCTGAAAGCAAGACAAAGCTCCCCAAACACTGCTCTGTTGACTAAGGGAAATACCACTATGTGGGGGGGTGGGTGTCATGTCAAGACTATAAATAATCACAACTTTAAACTCCCCGCTGCAATGAATCATTCCAGCAGAAACAGATCTCTTCTTTCTCCCCTCAAAATTTGCCGGGATCCCTAACAATGGCTCTTTCAACTGAGGAAAACGAGAGGCAAATGGAGAGGTAAAGTGCTCAAGCTGGATTGGCAAGTGGAGAAATGTCACTTAAGTAATGTTTACAGTCCTCATAACAAAGGGATATAACTTTCTTACTTTCATCACTGATGTCTGTCCTGGGGTGACTTTGTAAGCAGTGATACCCACAGTACTTTGTTCAGTAATTTGGCATTTACGGAGTCCATTAGTATCAACAAAGCATGCAAAGCTGGTAATCTACTCAAACAATTCTATAATGATTAACTTCTTGAGGGAATAAATAGAAACGAAACGAGTCCAGTAAATTACGTTGTTGATTGGTATTGGTGGTAAAAGTAATGTACAACTAAAAATCTTTTTTACTTTTCCTTTCGTGGAAACACTCAGATTATTAAGGACATATTAGGCCACCAAAACAAACCTGATGGCATTCACCTTGACTGACCCGCCACATGAAATCCCTTCTGTTTACTTTGAAAAGATTGTTTCTTCTTAACCAAAGTAAGTGTAGAACCCTTTAGAGGTACTACAAATAGAGTCATTATTCAGAAAATTGACGTTTACAGAGCTTGACCTTGGAGCATTTTCCTTACATCCACAGTTTTATGCCAAACATGTGGCCCAGTTTAAAACAAGTTTTAAATGAAGTGAATTCAAAACAGAGGGAAGGCAATAACTCTGAGAAATAAACCCGACGCAGTGCTCTCAGGAGCTGTAATGAGGCTCATTATAGAATATCCTTAGGAAAGACATTGAACTGGAAAATAAATAAATGTGACATCTGAAGTGTATACGTATAATATATACAGTAGATATCTCCTGTTAAAACCCAGTATTGCACACACACAAATTATTCACATGCTAAGAGCTTGGGGATATTTCTCTCAATTAAATATCTGATCAGGAGTTGTGTTCTTGCATGCTTCGCTTCTCAATCTCGACCAAAACATTCCCGGACATGAGCAAGTAACTGATCCACAGCCAATTTCCTACTGGCTGGGTTACAGCTATAACACCTGTGTTCTGATTATAATTACTTCATAATGGAAGCAATGAGTGGACTCGTCTTCTTCACATGTCTAAACAGCCCTGAGCAAAAAAATAGCAGCTCAACAAGTTTCTAGGTTTCAGTTGCCCACTTAATGTCCTATCTCTGGCCAAGGCTTCAAATACTTTTACGATCTGATATCCAAGCAACCCATAAAAGAATACATAAATCTAAATATAGTTTTGATAGGTATGTCATGTCAGGATACTTCTTAATTGACAAAGAGTTGAGTGTGGTGCATGTTTGTGCACAATCAGATGGGTGACTAGAGTCAAGAGGTCACTGCAGTCCAGAGTAAATATTGACTTAGTCCACAAGACAGCGAGCAGATAAAGGACTGTGAGTAAACTTCTACTGGCCTTTAATAGTTGGCCCCTTTCCTGTTGTGGGGGGACCTGCAGATGTTAGGAGGGTTAAATACACTCACTCACACAGACAGGCCAAAATTCCCACAGGCACCGGTGAAGAAGGTGAGCACACAACAGCAAGAAGGTGGGCAGGCCTGGATTCCACAATGCATTATTTTTGTTTACAGATTTAAAATACTGCTGAAGCATCCACACAATTCTCAATTTGTTTTAAAGTCTAAGTTTTACTGAGTTATGTTAAGCTATGATAATAAAATGGTTAGTTTACAATAGTCTTGACAAAATGATATATTTGTCCTCCTCTGCAGTGCTTTTTCTATGAGCAGGCCTCACAATGGACAATAGTAGCTCTTAAAATAAATCTTTACCGTAAGGTTAAACTGTAAATTGAAATGGGCTTTCCTGTGAGTTTTTCAAATCATGTCTTTAAAGTAAAAGAAAATGTCACGTCCCTCCATTGAAATGGATTCCAATTAGTTCATGACTGTCTTGGCCAAAAATAAGTTGGAAAGTTGTCATGTATAACTTTGAACATTGTTCCTCTTATCTTCATGATGGAATAAGAGTGTGTACAGTATATGGATATTTATATCTACAAGTCTGCAGCTTACTTTGCATTTTGCTTTATTTTTAATAAGGTACCCTCCAAAGTTTCTATTTAAGTTCACTATTAAGAGAGAAACCATGTATCCAACGCCTTAGCAACACACCTGTCATTATAGCACAGGAGCACAGATGTATCATCATGTCATTGTGTGTAATCATGTAAAAAAAAATGGAAGTGGTAAAGGCAGCCAAAGACAATAAGACTTACTTGTTTGAAAAGGTTTCTTATAAACTAACTGATGTGGGTATGTAAACCGGGCCTTTTAAGTTAAAAGCTCCTTCGGATTGGACTCTCCTGCAAAAATTCAACAATAACATCCCCATATATATATATGGTCAATTTTGTGTGTGTGTGTTTATTCTAATGTGTTTGTTTTTGTCCCACTTCCCAACATCTAATTATCTTGTTGTTTTTGTTGAATGTGTGGTCCAATTGTGCTCTTATTGTGTTACTGCCCCCCTTGAAAACAAGATGGTCTCAAGGAGTTATTCCCAACAAAGAATTTACCCCAATAACCAAGTCCTTCGTTAAGAAATCATTCTCTATACTCAGCATTTTTATAAGCCATAAGTCTAGACCCTAAAGTATAGCCCTTCTCCACTTCCTGAAAAACTTGCATCCTCAACTCATTATGGGAAGTAGCAGGTAGCGTTGAGCCGACTGAATGTTCTCAGTCAAGTGTAGCCTATGTGAGTCTCTGCAGCTATACAATCCAACCACCCCCGGCAGCAATTCTTGCAACAGTGGGTGATTGTCTGGGGCTCAGGAGCCAGTCAACCCCTGATGCATACATACTAACTCTCCCAGTGAATTCAAGGGAGGCCACACTTGTTCTCTGTCAACCCAGGCTCTCATTTTCACTCTCAAGGGCACAAAAAAATGTATCTCTCAGGATTTCAGGTTCACTTTCTTTTCCATCGAATGCAACAACTGAATGCATTGTTAGCACAGCTCTTTTTTAAGTTCTTATCTGGAAGGGATTCATAATAGAGTACAGACAACTTGGACCCACTTCTGATGGAAGAAAATACATTTCCTGTTGAGTAACCTGTGGAGGCGTGCACATTTCTGTAGCCCCACAGAGCCAGCTGAATGTAACAGGACAACAAAACCTGCATGCAGGATGTCAATAATAAACACTTCCATGAGGAATGTTTAGGTTTAAAGGCACTAAATAGATGTTTCCCCTATTTAAACACTAGTGCATAGTTTGATTAATTTGTAAGATATTCAGTCTCTGACAGTTTCTCTAATCTCTATTTATCATTATACAGGATAATAAAGATTGATCACTGACATTATTACTTTCAAGCCCATTTCTGTGCTTGTTTTCCAGCGTATCATAGCTATGTGAATGACATACAAATACATAGATGGGTGTACAGCAATAGAGCACATGGTATTCATATTATAATGTCAGAGATCCCAGGCTGCATGTTCATGTGGCGAGTTCAAAGCCAAGACTAAGATGTCAGCTACATTTATCAAGATCAACTAAGAGTAAAAAAGAGGCTCACAGTAAAACGTTCCACATGTGCAGCTGTAGGCTACTGTGGCATGAATGATTATTGTGCAGAATTTGCAGAAAAGTCAACGGAAAACGAAGATATCTTATTGAAAGATTCCTAAAATAAAAAACAACAATAATAGACAATAATGATTGTAATATTAAATCCATGCATTTATTGTATTGCTCGTCACGTTTTGGTTCCAAAACCTTATTGCTGCAGAGACTTTGTTTAGTAAATTGGCGCCCCTGTTCAGGAAAGATGCCAGACAACTGCAATAAGTCCTATAGTTGCCATTTTATATGAAAAGCAGTTCTAGAGGCAGTTTCAGAGGCGCAAATGTGCACATGTAGCATAACATCTGCATACTATTAAGCCAAATGCTCACTTACGTTGCTGCCGCGGAAACGTGTCCACTCCTTGTCCGTTGAGCTCCTAAATGCATTTGTATGCATTTGTCCAGGCAGCAGAGATCTGGGTGAAAACAGAATCACACTCAAGAGGATACCTGCTCATCGGCTAACCATTTGGTAACAGCCAAAGGAAGCGTAGAGTGGACGGATGAGTTCTGCCAACTCAGAATTTCCTCATTGCATTGCAGTCCGGAGGAGAGATCTCTCTCACTCGTTCAAACCAGAGCTTCTCAGATCCTTTGCGCTCTGCGGCGCGCAGTTATCAGGCTATTTCTATCCAAAGTGGAGACGCGCAACAGTTGCATAGAAAAAGTTGGCTAGGAGAGCGGCTAGTCAGACAGCAGCAATGACTGTGCGATACAGAGTCAGAGCTCGACTGCTTCTCTCAGAGTGATCTCCAACACAACAGCAGATCCAGCCCTGTGCGTCTTTACCCCCAGGCGGCGGTTTCTGCTATGTGCCTTGACTTGCACCGATGCAAGGGGACCCGTATTCACCCTAACACAACTCCTTCCAGCTGGTGGTGTTGGATTTCACCTCTTACAGGCTCGTGACATCACAGATCGACTATGGCTTGTGTTAATCGATGCCTTTTGTCTAGATTGACTAATGTGTTAGCCTAACGCATGTGCAATAGGCCTATGTATCTAAACTGTAAACTCAGCAGGTTGGAGAACATTTTAAAGTTTTTAACAAAGGAGCATAAACTTGCTTGTGCACACATGGTCCTACTTACACACACACTGAAATAATGGCAGAGAAAAAATGAAAGAGATCAGCTGGTGCAGCCTCTTGTGGTTTGCTGACAAGCAAATCTGCCAGGTGATGCAGCTCAAGGCACTGATGTTCTGGCATAATGGCAAGAGTTCCTGTTGTCCAGCCATCAGTCGTAGATTACAACATTTTATTTTGGCATAAAAACGTACAGTGAACAGTCTCTGCAGTCCAGCATATTTTCTTAGCAGGAGAGAGAGTTGTAGTATGACACAGTACAGGTTAAATCTCATAAGCACTTGGCATGAAGACAAGCCACAACAGGTAAGTGAGAAAGTATTGTGGGCAATGCTTTATTGGTTAATGATCACAGAGGGTTCAAACCGTCAAAAATGATGCAAAAATAATCAAATAAGAATGTCAAGTTTGGTGTGAAAATATGCAACAGTACAGTATCTGCAGCCAGAGGCATGGAGCCATGTGTAAAATGATCAATTGCATCCGGTCTGTTTTTTTTCTCTTCCTTCAGCATAAAAAACACTTAAAAAGTTATGTTTCTTAATAATTACACTTATACTCACACAAGTAATTATATATTTCCTACAGACAATCATGCACAACCCTGAGCATGTTTAATATGAAATGTAAAGGTCTAACAGGTTAGGAAGCATGCCATGTGGATTGACTTTTTTATATAGCGTTAAATCCAGCTGCTGTATTGTTTTGAGATTTACACAAACAAAGATTTAATAGGTGTATAAACTCTTGCAGTGTTTACCATAAAACCTTTTTGCTCTGGCACTGATTATCGTCAGAAATAACCCTTCTTTGTTCCTCTATAACCAAAGAACCGCTGTGTTTCCTCCTTGAAAATGACACCGTTTCTTTTTCTTTATCTTTCCCATCGATATTTCCAAACAAACTGGCTCTAACCTACTTCCACCTTTCCCGATCAAGGTTAACCCATTAACCTAGAACAAACAGAGCTCTGTGGACCCCCAGCCCTCCCCCACATACTCCAGCATCCTCCTCTGGATGTCTGTCGCCTCCCTCAGCTAAACCTGGACGGCGAGAAAGTCCATATGGTTTGCAGTTTAGGGAACAGGGGGACGCTCTACAGGAGACTTAGAGGAGACAGAGCAGTTCCTGCCTCTAATCCCAGGTGGAGCAAACAGGGTTTCTTAACCTGGCACAGTAAAAGGACAGTTACAGTGAACAGTCACAATGCCCAAACAATGAGTATTATAAGAGAGGTCAAAGTGACATGGAAACTTCAAGCCAGGCTGCCAGCTACTAAAAACAGCGAGGTTAATAAAAAGTGTTAATTTTGAGATTTGTGGCTGCAAACAAGCTATAGAGGCCTTTGTGTGTCTGTCACAGTGGCTGAAACTCTGCTGTCCCTCTTCATCAAAGACAGTTGTCACGGAGGAGGAAGCACTTTGCAGTGGATGCACTATCTTTCTCTCTCTCTCTCTGTCTCTCCCTTTCTTTAGCTGGCTTTGCCATCAGCCAGCATCTTGGGATAGCAATTCTTCAGCCAGATGTTTTCTTCCACTTCCAGAAACAAAAATGTTGAAATTCTGGCTCTGACACGACCGTGAATCAACATCATGAATAGAGGAATAACATGATCAGTTTGTAGCAGATCACAGATATTGCCATCATAGGCCATATTTTTGTAGAGTAAAATAGCATTTGCTATTTGGTAACTTGTAAACAAAGTTTGAGTCCGGACATGTGTCATATTGATAGAACTTTGATGTAATCATTGATGTAGGGCCTATCATGCTGCAAAAAGGTTCTATGAAGGTTATTATACCATAAAATTACTTCAGCCAAGTATGCACGCAGATTTACAGCAAACTTTTCAAGATGAATGTTCTCTTTTTTCACATGTCCAGATGTGTACTAATCAGTCCATTGTGCACCGTAAGCCCAAAGAGTGACTGTTGTCCAATAATCAGAATCAGATCAGCTCTCAGATTTGTCTCTCTTGAGGAATGGGCAGACGCAGATGAGTGCACACTGACCCTCTCCTGAAACATGTGTGTTCTCCTCTCAAAGTTTCATAATTTATCCAATTAGATTGCAAATAATTGGAGCCAGAATGAGAGTGAATGGATCAGTGTTTTCAGACAATAACTGCAGAGATTTAGAAGTACATAACGGCTAGGCAAGATTCTGATCAGTGACGCATATGGGCACAGACAAAGTCCTTCCATATGATCAAAAATTACATAATGCATGAAGAGCACATGTCTATTCTAGTTTGACTTCTTAACATACTATTCTTTGCTCTTGCTGGCAGCATGTTGTGAGTCGTAGATTTGGACTCGAGGTGCCTCTGCCCCACTCCCAGGTCCATGTACCTGCACACTCGTGATTTTCATCTCCAGAGTTTCCCACTGGACATCCTGAATTCAAACACCTTGTGCTGGTTGGAGAGCATATTGTCTTTCAGGTTAACATATAATAGTGCAGTAACAGCTTGTAAATGTGGGGTGTGTGGAAACTTTAATCCTCGCAGGACCAGAGTGAAGCCAAAGTCAATCGAACTGGATAAAGACAAAATAAAAGTGGATGAGGAAAAGGGAAGGCTCTACGATTGATAGAGCGTAACATTAAATGTTGAATTGAATCAGCCTGGAGACATAATAAAAACGTGCTTTTGAGAGCCTACTGTTAGTGAATTATTCCCATAATAATACAGCAGCAGTTGGTTAAGCGTGGCCTCATTAGGTAAACAGCTCAGTGTATGCCATGAACCAGCCTCAGCGAGAGCAAAAGTTGGCGTGTGTGTGTATGCGAGGAGGTTGACTCTACCTGCAGACTGAAAAGACACTAAACCTACCTCCATCTCTAATTAGCACACTGTGTAATTTCTGTCCTGCGTGCGTGTCATCAGCTCGTAGGGCTGTTATTTTCATGTGGGGAGAGAGTGGGCAACAGCTGGGAGAGTGCTTAACAGATGGTGGAATACAGCGCAGTCAATAGCTGAAACAATGCTTCATGTAAGAGCGCGTGTGTGTGTATGCAGTGAGGTGGTTTGCAGAGCTTAAGGGACCATGGGAAAGCAGGGAGAGAGGGGCCAGGGGAGTCCAGGGTAAAGGGGGAGTTTGGGCTGATAGGAAGTTTGGGAGCGTGCAGGGAAAGTGAAAGTCCCTTTGCGGGTCATATGGGGTGGAGAGAGGGCACAGAGGAGGAACACACACGCTGCATGGGGAGGTGTTGCCTCATGCCTGGCTTTTCATTTTCGTTGTGCAGCCTTGTAAGCAGACCTGATGGATTTGATGTATATATCGCTCTTGAAACAATGCCTGGTTAGTTGATGAGTCATTGCAATAATATCCCAAAACATAATTTTAATTAAAGAATACTAATAAGGTATTTATTTATATTATAGTAAAATCAGCAGAAAGCTTTTTCTCGTACTCTTTCTTATACTTGTGATTGTTTAGCAGCATTAACAGAGTGATTAGTGATTAGTGTGATTAGTTTTGCACATGTCAGGCAGGAGTTTAAGAAACCCAAAATAACAAGCACATTAGTCAGCTTTTAAAAACCCCGGACTTCTAAATACTGCCAAAACAACACTTGTTCATCCTGAATTACTCACATTTAATATTCATGTAAAATAGTTCATGGTTTTCATAAACATCGTTAAATAACATTGCTTGGGGAACCAGTGCAGTGTCTGTACTTGTAGGGAATATTCTCAAGGAAAAAAAAAAACTGCCTGGCAAGAACTTTTGAACAGGAAAAGAAGATGTGCTGAGTCAGATGAAAACATTTCCCTCATTATACATTGGATATAATTAATGTCCAACCCCTGCATCCTTGCTGCTTTATTTCCCTGGTGGCTCTAGAATTACCTGTTTTTAAATCAGGCCTACATAGTAAAGTATTCTGATGGTTTTCCCCATCTTTCTCACTGAGGGGGACAAAGGAAGATTGTGCAACTTCCAAATGATACAACTTCAGTGGAAATTTGAAGGGAAGTGGCTCCACTGTATGGGTATGCAAGCTGTTAAGCTTTCATTTAGGGGAGGATGCACACTACTGTAGAGAGTATTTAACTCTTTGGTAGGTATTTTAGGATATGATGATACACAATTCAGATAAAATCCTACAGCGTTTGCTAAGAGACATACATAAAACATGTGTTTTCAGACACAGAAAAGTAAGCATCTAGCACGGTGGCCCTGCAAACATGATGAATGACTAAAGAGCGATGGCAAGGCAGCATCATAAGGTAAATTGGTACTGACACCCAGAGTAAGTATACCAGTCAGTGCTTCTCTCATTGTGTGTGAACTTGAAAAGCTACTGTGGAGCGATGACTGTGAGGCTTTGTCAAATGACAAATACAATGTGTGACAATGTTTCTTAAAGAAAACTTAGAATAATATTACTACTATGCATAGATTTCCCACATTGACTGTAGTTTGCGGAAACCTTCCTGTGTTCAACTCGCTAGTCGGATTTTCTCACATTACATTACATGTCACTTGTTAGACGCTTTTATCCAAAGCGACTTACATACTCAATACTGTGGGCAATCCCCACAGGAGCAATTTAGGGTGAAGTGTCTTGCCCAGGGACACAACGACATGCTGACTGCAGTGGGGTTTGAACCTGTGACCCCCTGATCCGAACACCAACGCTCAACCCACTGCACCACACGCCACTTTTCTTCATT